CTTACCTTCACTATAAATACTTAAGGACAACCTCTTTAGCCCCATTTCAACACTCAAAACCCCCAGGAGACCTTAGAGAGGAGTAAAGGAAGAGAAAAACACAAGATCAAAGGGGATTTCAACTTCAAGAAGATCAAAATCTAGTCTTTTCAAGAACATCAAGGTTAGGGGTTTTCTTCCATTCTTGTCCTTTGATGCTAGAGGTAATATATATGTATTCTTTGACTTTAAATCTTATATATTTGCTATGAAATCACCTTTTCTTGGTTTTCTTGCAATTATTACCATGTTTTACACCAGATAGGGTTGAATACCCATGAAATCTCATTTTCTTGATATAAAACCCTAGTTTTCAAAAGAGATGGACTTTCTTCTTGATTCTTCCTTTGTTCTTGACTTAGAAATCTTTAGTGCTTTGAGTTGAGTACTAAAATGATGTTGATGATGATCTCTTGCATTTTCTTCACGTGCTCTATTGAAATACTACATGTGAAATTTGGGATTTATGGAATTGTGTGTTATTTGAGGAAATTGTTGGTATTGTATCTCTTGTGTGGTTGTTGGATAAACATGGGCTACTATTGACCAGGTATCTTGGAGTGTGTAGACGCCTTCTTACTCCGTGTGGGTTAGAACTTTTCTTATCACTTGTAATGGGGTAAGTGCCTTGCGAGGACTAAACCATTATCGCTTACGGGTTACCATGGAAAAAGGGGTTAGTATACTACTCTTTGGTTGGATACGTCACTGTCATGGTGTTGGCATACGCCCTTCCTAAAGGTTGGATATCCTTGCGAGAATTTGTGTGGATTGTACGTGGGCCATGATATTTTCGATGGTATCTATCCGAGGTCTTACTTCATACCAGAGATATGAATACAATGGTGGTTTATTGTTTATTGTACCAGAAATAGTTTCTACAAGAATTTTGGGAAGTATGAGATTCCGCAAGAACTTGGGAGAAACGATTTATGGTGGAATGGATTATTAGTTGTATATTGTTTTCACTTATGCATTAAATTATTACTATTGCTTAAACTTGAGATCTATTTAAATGTCATGGCTTTCTTTCAAAATTCATATATGGTATTTGTGAAAGGTGACCGGCCATTTGTATATGCTTTTCTAAGCTTTGTTCGAGTTTGGGAGGAATTTTGCTACAGAGCTTAGTGTTCAACCCCCTACAAATTATATTTTTCAGATTATCTACTGGAGGAGGATTTGGGAATTGAGGAACCAGCACACCGGGGGATTCCTGTAGACGGGCANAGATCTATTTAAATGTCATGGCTTTCTTTCAAAATTCATATATGGTATTTGTGAAAGGTGACCGGCCATTTGTATATGCTTTTCTAAGCTTTGTTCGAGTTTGGGAGGAATTTTGCTACAGAGCTTAGTGTTCACCCCCCTACAAATTATATTTTTCAGATTATGTACTGAAGGAGGATTTGGGAATTGAGGAACCAGCACACCGGGGGATTCCTGTAGACGGGTAGGTTGATCCCGAGATGGGCGCTTAGAACAACGTTACTTTTTATTCTAGACTAGGAAATTTACTTTGGAAATATTGTGAAGTCTAGATTCTTTTGTAATTCCGTTGCGAGTTTATGTTTAATTATTTTGGGATGTAATTATCTGATGTTGGGATCATATTCTTTTGGAGATATATTCGTCATGTTTTGGCGTATTCTTTTGGGAATGAGATTGTAAAGATTATCTTTGATGTATGAAATTTCTTTATGGATGAATTATTTAGTTTCTCTCATGATGTGAATAGTTTTTAGTTTGTAATGCCGTCTAGGGTGGGTTTTGGGGCGTTACAGCNAGATTGTAAAGATTATCTTTGATGTATGAAATTTCTTTATGGATGAATTATTTAGTTTCTCTCATGATGTGAATAGTTTTTAGTTTGTAATGCCGTCCAGGGTGGGTTTTGGGGCGTTACAACCTATTTATAATGGAAGCAAAGGAGCCAAAAACTAGACGTTTACAACTTTTAATGGATATATCCGGTATACCGGTTCAATTTAGGCCTCTGAAAATGGGAGATACTGGGAATAATTGAAGTATACCTATTCATCCAACCGGCATGCTGCATCCTTCATCCGGTATACGGGATCTTTGCTTTTCCATGAACTTCCAATGCTATTATGGTCCTCCAAACGTTCAAATTTGACGATGCCTATTTCAGAAAAAATTGTAGCCATTGATGTCTAGTTTTCAAACTCATTGGAATTAGGTCATTTGGACATTTTACTAGAGAGTTATGTCAAAAATAGTGAAATATGTCTGAAACTCTCCATTGTCATCCTTTAATGCATTAGCTCCAATTTCAGTGCCCTGCTTCACCTATAAGACATCCAAAATCTCAAAATTACTATTTCACACAACCTTGTAGATCTTGAAGTATTCTTTCCATCCACACTTGAACCAAGTCAATTGGACTTTTTTGTCAAAAGATATGCCATATTACCTAGAATATGTTAAATTAACCGATTTTAGCATTCTTCCTTCTTGACTTGTTTCTTTCACTTTTTTTCCTTGATCTTCCAACTATTCTACTTAACCACTATAATCACATCCTTAACTTAAATAATGATCATATAAAAATGATCCTTAACCTCCTCAAGTTGTCCTCATATTCACATCAAACCGATAAAGTTGTTTTAAGAAGCTTCTCATGCCATGCTCTTCTCATTCAATTAACTTATTTAACCCACTACATCCATGATGCTCATTCTCTTCATGTAGTTGCATCTTCTCATCTTCACTCAAACAATATTAGTGTTGCTTTTTCTCTTCCTTTCATTGCATCTTCAATCATCCAATTAAGCATGCAACTCATGCACATCTTCTCTTTGATTCTTTGTACCACGTGTAACACATTGTTCATTCTTCCACATCTCATGTAAAACCTATGCAACACTTCTATCCAAACTCACAAGAAGATAATTAGTAATACAATAATGTTTGTTATCATCAAAACTTTGCTTAACCAAGCATAGGGTCAATATTCTTCCCCTCTTTGATGATGACAAACACACTACACCAATGATGCATATATTTCATCTTCTTATGTAACATATGCACATTTTGCATGTCAAATGTATATGTATCAATGCAATATTTCTCCCCCTTTTAGCATCATCAAAAATATACCAACCTCATCAAGCCAATAGACTTAGCCTCCCCCTAAGTGTGTGCATGTATATTAATGCTACTATTTTTCACTTCTCTTCCTTTGACTTCATCAATGACATCTCATAGTAATACCTAGATCCATATGCTCAACCTAAGCATATCCATGTCCTATCAATGAACATATGCATTTCAACATTGGCATTTTGATTTGCAAGTAATGCTCCCCCTTAACATATGCATCATTTAAAAATGCTACTTTTATCCAAGGTGTTTTGAATGATATGAAGTGATAATCATCATATGCATGTGTTTTGTCAAAAAGATGAACTTAAACTCAAAATCCTTCTTTGTATGCTCAGATAAACATACATATATTTCTCTCTTTGGCATTATCAAAATAAATCCATAATTTTGTCAATCACTTGCCAAGGGTAGAGATGCTCAATAAGATATATTAATTTAAGGCCAATTCATATANCATACATATATTTCTCTCTTTGGCATTATCAAAATAAATCCATAATTTTGTCAATCACTTGCCAAGGGTAGAGATGCTCAATAAGATATATTAATTTAAGGCCAAAACATCCATTTCTCTCAATTAAGCTAAGGCATGACAAGTAGGAAAACATTCCCAAAAATCTCTCATTTAATAATCACAAGCCATTTTAAAGAGAAATATCAAGAAATATAATGCACCCATTTAAGAGCTTCCAGAAGATATGATAAGCTAATTTTGAAATAGTGTGATTTTCATCGCTAAATGATTATCATTTTCATCCCTAAAAATATAGACATCAATTCTATATTTCCTCCCTCTTTCTATTTCAATAGATGCTCTCCTTCAACTAATGCATATGTCTCATAAAATATCTATCAAATCATAGTCTTAGAGATATATCCATTATAGTATATGATATGAAAGGGAGAGTGGAGATGTGCTTGATTGAGTGTGATGCCTCCCAAGTGTTGCGGGGCTTACAATTTATAGTCACCTCATAATGGATTGAGGTGACTTAATAGTAGTTAAATAGCTAATCTGATAGTCATAACGGATTGGGATGACTTAATAGTAATTAAATAGTTGATCCAGTGAAGGTGGTGACCTTTTCTTAATAGGCGAGGCAGTTACAATGCTCTCCATAAAACTTGGTCAAAGGATGAGGGGAGGGTTGACTCTTTCCAAGGCGGTGAGGATGAGGCCTTGGATGACCTTGCGTGCCCCCTGCTGATGTAGCTCCTTGAGTTTGATGAGCTTGACCACATTGAGCTAGACTTGGCGGATCTCTTAGAGTTGGGCCATTAATTTAGATCAAGCTTATAACATGAGTTAGGCCCTTCGGCCTGGCCTATCATTTGCCCCTCAATGCCCTATGTCCAATGAAACTTGGAGAAGAGGAAATTCAGTCGAATTTGAATTCTGACTCACCAAGGCTCCTTTTCCGCTATGTCCATGTTGCACTTTGACTTGAGGATTGACCTGCCTAGACAGGTCGTGGGGTTCCATTTGCTCGGTCAAGTGGCAGGGGCTTAGGGGCAGTGCCACCGAAACCTAAACGATTTTTTGAATCACATACTAAGACTCCTCTTTCTTTCCTGATATATATTTTAGCTCTTTTGGACATCTCCGTCTATATAAACTCTTCCTTTTATTCCCCCTTTTGAATCTTAGAAGAGCCCTTGGTTTTGAATTGGGCCTTTTTGCTTTTTTCTTCCTTTAATAGGGTTTTAAAAACACTAGGTATAAATAGGGTGCTTCTTTCCCATTTCACCCATTCCATAGAAATTTGAAAGAGTGAAGGAGGAGAGCCTCCTTGAAGTCTTTCAAGAAACTTCTTGAGTTAAGCATTTGTGAGGCCATGTCGATTGAGGAAGGAGAATATGGGTTAATACCCATCAATCTTAAAGAGGCTGGAGTTGTCCTAGGAGAGGAGGCACCTACTGCCATGTTCAGGGTCCATGGCCATGCAGCATAACAGGTTGGGGTGAGCAGAGGAGGTGCCTTTGCTGGGCATGCATCTAAGGCTAGTGCCTCTGTTGGGAGCGCTTCAATGGTGAGCGGACAATTGGCCGAGGGCTTGGGTAAGCTAGGTAATGGGTTGGGCACCCGTGTTAGTGGGGTAAAGGTGCTTCCCAGTGGAGCGACCAATGGGGCGAGTAGGGGAGATGCCTTTGCTATGCACGAGGACCACCTTGGCCAAGATGCGACACTCAAATTAGGCGAGCAAGCTTGCCTGGGTGAGCAGTCAACACTCAAGCTAGGCAGGCAAGCTTGTTTGGGCACACAGGCAGCACTCAACCTAGACGGGATCGTGCGCGCAGCACAGGCGTGCACAACGAGTAGAAGAGGTGGGCTGCTGGGTTACGCGGTCACCCCAGTACTGGGCACCGAGGCTGTTGCTAGTTGGGAGGTCAGGGCTAAGGTAACCCAGTTGGGCGAGGTGCTTGCTACAAAGCTGCTAGGTGAGGGAGATGAGATTGNCTGGGTTACGCGGTGACCCCAGTACTGGGCACCGAGGCTGTTGCTAGTTGGGAGGTCAGGGCTAAGGTAACCCAGTTGGGCGAGGTGCTTGCTACAAAGCTGCTAGGTGAGGGAGATGAGATTGGGTACACAAGGATACGATCTGGGCGAACAGACCAGCCACTGGGCATCACTTGGGCGAGAGCCCACTAGGCGCTGAGCGTGGTTTATCTGCGGGCATTGACTGTGATCGGGTGAACACATCAGGCACTTGTCGTGGTGATGATTCTGGAAATTTGGTGGATGATCTGGCTCATTTGGGTGGAAATCCTCAAAATCAGATTCCTTAGGGCCTCTCCGATGGTGGCTCAGGAAACTCTTCACACCCTTGCAACAAAAAGCACCAAGGTAAGTAGCCCTTGACGATGATGGATCCAAAGTGAGTACTATTTCTAGCACTTTAAATACAAATGTTGATATTTTGTGGATTGTCTCCACCTATCATATTCCTCAAATTGTGCTATGTTGTCGAGTTGAGATGGGCGAGCTCGCTTACGATAACTTCTTTGATGACCTTGCCATANCTATCATATTCCTCAAATTGTGCTATGTTGTCGAGTTGAGATGGGCGAGCTCGCTTGCGATAACTCCTTTGATGACCTTGCCACANAAATGTTGATATTTTGTGGATTGTCTCCACCTATCATATTCCTCAAATTGTGCTATGTTGTCGAGTTGAGATGGGCGAGCTCGCTTACGATAACTTCTTTGATGACCTTGCCATATATGAGGAGATGCTTGAGGCTAGGCTTAGGTTCCCCATGTCTTCTTCTATTTGCTGTGTTTGACATTATTTCTCACTCACACAGGGGTGGTTGTCGCCCAATGTTTGGAGGGTTTTGCTGTGCTTTCTGGTGTTGTGGAGGAAAGTGCACCATGAGGATGCCTCTTGATGAGTGGGTTTTATACCTACGAATTGAGTGCTTTTAGCTTAATGAAATTGTAAGTTGTCAATTATTTTATGTTTATTTTTATTTGTTTTGTGTGTTTGGATGTTATTTTGTAGGAATGACCATTTGGGAGGAAACAAGGTCAAAATTGGAGCCTAAGTATTGGATTTTTGAAGAGGAAGTTAAAGGGCATTTTAATGGAGTATTTATAGCGTACCATTTTATAGTAGTACCTCGGTTTTATGCCTTTTTGACCATGATAAACTTCGAATCTGAAAGAGTTTAAAACATGAAAGTTGTAGATCAGGATGTCTGATGTATTGTGTCAAAATTTCAGCTCAATTAGACGGTTGTATCAAAAGTTATGACAATTATACGAAGACTGATCCGGAGCAGGCAGAATACAAGGAGGCGCGCCCCAGCGCCAATTTGGGCGCCCCAGTGCCCAAACATTGTCCAAATCAGCGCCCCTGCGCCATTNGATCAGGATGTCTGATGTATTGTGTCAAAATTTCAGCTCAATTAGACGGTTGTATCAAAAGTTATGACAATTATACGAAGACTGATCCGGAGCAGGCAGAATACAAGGAGGCACGCCCCAGCGCCAATTTGGGCGCCCCAGTGCCCAAACATTGTCCAAATCAGCGCCCCTGCGCCAGTTTGAGCGCCCCTGCACATGTGTTAATCCATGACGCAAATTTTGACTTGTTTTGGACCCAAAAATTTAACCCTAAGGCTATATATATACTAGGGTTTGTATGGGGATGGAAGATTCTGACTTTTGGGGGCTGAAAACATCTAGAAAAACCAAGGAATTGGAAGAAAATTGAAGACAAGAATCGAAAGAATCAACACGAAGAATTGGTTTTGAAGGCTAGAAAAGGATTGAAGATTGCACTTAAGTTTTCATTCTTTTCTCTTACCTTTACTTCTTGATTTTCTAAGATGTTGTTTAATTTTAGAATGATGTCTTTCAATTACATTATGAACTAAATTTTTATTAAGATTGCAATGGAATCTATGTCTAGTTAAATTAATCTACTCTCGTTTCTAGTTCTTATTGATCTTATATGAGTTATTTGTCATATTTTGTGATTAATATATGATTGTGTGGCCAACAATTAGTTTGATAACCTAGATGAAATTTGGAGATGAATTCTAGATTTAGATCTGAATATGATGACATGCGTCTAATTTATTCTTCTTAGGATTGAATAGCTGGGTTTGTGTATAGGATAGGAATATACCTATATGCCGTGTGTAGCTTTTATGAGAGTTTGAACTTAATGAATCTATTCCAACTTATTTTGCATAGGAATATAGTAATTTAATTGGGATATATAATTTTATCTAACTATCGGAAGAGGTTTGATAAATAACTTTGAGTTCTCAGCTAACAACTTATTTTGATTAATTAACTGGAAAGAGAGTTAGAGGGATTTATACGAAACATTAGGGGAAGTTGTAATCTTAACTTCTTTTCTCTAGTAAATTCAACCCTTGATTGTTAAGTTTAGATTTAGTTTTAATTAGTAATTCCATAGCTCAATTTCAATTGTTTAAATAAAATTGAATTGATATAAATTTAGTACTTGGAATTTATTACTAATAATTCTCCGTGGGAACGATACTCTACTTATCACTTTATTACTTATTGATCGTGTATACTTGCATGTAAATTATCAATACCAAATTCGGACAACACCTCTCCTATTGAGTTTCATGCAGCTTATACTTTGAGCGAGACTTCTGCTCCTAATCGGGGCTAGTACTACTTTACTATGAGAGACAAGTTGATTACCAGATTGCGCTCCAACTGTCATAGTTGGAAGTCTCGCTTTATTTTTGTCGGTGGAGAGTTGGCTGTAGAGGCCGATAGGGCTTTGATACCAACAGGATGTGGTTTTCTGTTTTACTTGGTGTTTTTCATCTAGATAACCCTTTACTTCTTTTGCAGCAGTAGATAGAAAGGTGATTGGGTCCCGTCTTTTTGGTAAGAGTCCTCTCTCTCTTAAGGTGGTGAGGATGGGCGATGCCTCCCAAGTGACCTCTTCAATGGTGCCACTCGAGGTGAGCTCTCCTTAAGCAACCCCTTTAGTGGTACCTCGGGCGTGCTTGACCCCTCCAGTGGTGCCTCCTCAGTCGGAGACTTCTTTAGTTGCATCTCCTACTCTAGAGTCCCCCTTGTTGGCCACACCTTCTATCCCCCATTCATCCACTCCTCCTGGGGGAACTTCTAGAAGGGAATTAATTTAGATCAACTCCATATTAGGTAATGCGCCAGTCATAAAGGATCGACTTGGGAGGTTTGGGTTTCCCAACGATGTTAGCGAGATTAGTGCTCTAGGCACCGAGGGAATCATCAACACTTTTTTGGAAGGCCTGGCTTAGGTAAGGGTCTGTTGTTTCCCTTTCTCTAGACCTCTCTTAAGCTTCTGACATTCTTTTGACTTCTATCTTTCTTCAGGCTTCTACTGCATCTATGTGTTTACTTTCAAGGGCCTATTGCCATGGCCAGCTGAAGTAGAATCATGAAGTTGTGAAAAAGGAGCTCTTTGCTACTTAGGGGAGGATCATTGAGCTTGAAGCTACTGATAGAACTTCTGAGGCTGAGCTTGTGATGAACCATGAGAGGGCGACTAAGCCTGAGACTGAGCTTTCGGTGACCTATGAGAGGGTGGCCAAGCTTGAGGTTGAGCTTGCGGTAACCTGTGAGAGGGACACACTCAAAGAGGCTGAACTTGTGGAGGCCCGTGAGAGGGCCTTGTTCAGAGAGCCTGAGCTTGTAGAGGCCCATGAGAGGGCCATGCTCAAAGAGGCTGCCAAAGAGAAAGAGATGAAGGCAAATCATGAGAGAGCTTCTTAGGCTAAGGAGAGGGCTATTATGGCTGAGAGTGAGTTAGAGAATGGCCTTGTAGATGCCTTTATTGATGGTTATGGGGAACTCCGAGGAAAGATTTTTGTTGTTTTCCCTGATATTGTTGTCTCAGGCTTCTTGCCAACTGAGGCGCTTGATGATAGTGATGGAGGCTCTGACGATGCTGAGGGTGTTGATGATGAGGAGGAGGACGACTATGAGAGTAATTAGAGTGCTAGGGACTTTTGCTTTTTTTTTTTTAGGAAAGCATTTTGTAGCCCTATTTTTGTAAAAGTGGTTTTTTCCACTGATGCTCCTTTGAAGTTGAATAAAAAAAATGCAAAAATCTTTTGGAGTAAATCTAGAAAGTTTTATTTATTCACTGCTCATGTCAAGTAATATTGGGTAATTGCCCCCAAAAAAGTACAAAAAATAAAAACCAAGTCCCCAACTTTTCTAGTCTCTTAAGGTGTCACTGATAGTACCTTTTCAGGTGCTCAGCATTCCATGGGTGCGGTAAGGCCTTTCCCTCAGAATTCTGGATCTTGTAAGTGCCTCACCTCACCACTTCTATTATGAGGTGGGGTCTTTCTCAGCTTGGTCCCAACTTCCCTTCTCATGAATCCTTTGTGGCAAGGATCACTTTCCTGAGGACCAAGTCTCCTGGTTGGAAGGAACGAGGCCTCACCCTCAAGTTATAGTACTTTGCGATGCGATGCTTTTACTCCGTGTTGTAGACTACATCCATCTCCCTTGCCTCCTCTACCAAGTCGAGGTTGATGCGGAGTCCTTCCTTATTGGTGATGGGGTTGTGGTGTTGGACCCTTAGAGAGTGCACCCCGATCTCTACAAGGATGACTACCTCAGTTCCAAAGGCAACGGAGAAAGGGGTTTCTCCAGTTGGAGTTATTGGCATAGTCGAGTAGGCTCATAGTACACTTGGGAGTCTGTCAACCCAAAGACCTTTCACTCTTTTGAGTCTTGTCTTTAGGTTGTGTAACATGGTTCTCTCAATGACTTCTGCTTGTCCGTTTGCCTGCGGGTGCGCTGGGCTAGAATGGAGCTGCTTTATTTGAAGGTCAGAGTAGAAGGAGTTTAGGAGCTTGTTGTTGAATTGCTTGACGTTGTCACTGACAATGGCGTATGGTATCCCAAAGTGACATACCAGGTTTTTCTAGATATAATCTTTCGCCTTTGCATTTGTTGTCTTTGCTAAAGGTTCAGCCTCCA